TTCAACGGCAAAGAACCTTACCATTATAACATAGCCTTCAGTCTAATAAAGTTGGGTTGTTTTTGTTTGTAAGTTTGTTTATTTGTTTTTGTTTGGTTGTTTTTTGTTTGGTTGGGGTTTTTTTTTTTTTAAACCCCAAATTGATTCAAACTCTGTTTTTAGTAATCACTAGCAGTCTCACGATTTTTGTACACCAGACGCTAGATTGCCTTCCTTTTAAAAAAAGACTGCCTTTGTTGTAACGAGGGTCAATAAGCACTTATATTTTCCTTGTAGCAAAACAAGGTGTGATTGAATGGTCTGGTATCACATTGATTGCCTCGTCTATCGAACCATGTTTGCAATTTCCCCTGACGCAGCAGAATCAATTAAGAGTTTTTATTTCAGCCTTCAATTAGAGGTCTTCTGCCTTGGGGCGTGTGTGTTTCTTGAATTAGTGCAAAGAGCCCGTGGGCGTATTTTATTATCAAGTGAGCTTCAATTGTGATGTGTAACGCACCCTTTATTAATATTGTATGATATTCATTTCTATCATCACATTATCTCGTCAAATTGATGGTCCAGCTCAACGTTCGTTATAATTTCACCCTAAAAGCCCACACCTGGCCCATCCCCTTATCCCATTTCTGTTCCGGGCATAGTCGTGCCCTGTGCCCTTATGCCCTTATTCTTTCAAACAAACAAACAAACAAACAAACAAACAAACAAACAAACAAACAAACAAACAAACAAACAAACAAACGTGGATGGTTGGCGGGTGCTCTGGTGTGGTTTGCTACTTCTTTCTTATCAAACATCTATCGTCCTTATATCCCCTTCTCCTTTTTTATGTTTCTTTCTCTCTTGTAACACCTCTAATTTGCTGGCGCCCATATGACCTTATGCAGTTGCGAGAGCTGTACAGTTCAAATCATTTAGGAGATGTGCTGTGACCCAACCTGTCAGGGCAAACCCAAGCTGAGAGGGATACAATGTTCCAGCAGAAAGCCCGACATGTTCGATTTAAAAATTCTCCCTGCACGGGAATCGAAATCAAATCTGTGGGTGGTTGGCGGGTGCTCTGGTGTGGTTTGCTTCCTCTTTCCTATCAAACATATATCGTCTTTATCTCCCCTCCTTCTTTTTTTTGTGTTTGTTACTCTCTTGCAACGACTCTAATCTTCGGCACTTATATTACCTTATTGTGTTGCAAGTGCCGTAAAACACTTACTAAAACAAAACGAACTCAGGTCTTCTGCATGTGAGGCGCAACGCGTAACTGCTACACCACAAACGCCGGTTGTTGTTGTTGTTGTTGTTGTTGTTGTTGTTGTTGTTG